CCAACTCCAAGTGGAGTGAGAAGACGACTGACGGCTTCCGAGACGTTCTTCACGTACGGAAGAGCCCGCCAAAATTTGGGGCTAGTTGGATTTGGTCTCTGGTGTCCTTTTCGTATGCACTGGTTGACAAAGTTGCGCGGGTAGCCATTGGCTCTCATTACCCGTCGAAGATATTGTAATTCAGCAACCTTGTCTTCCATTTCACTGCAGTGCGTCTCAACACGCCGGTATAGCGCCCTTACGCAACTGCGTTTGTGACTGATCGGGTGGTTGCTATTGAAGTTCAGTATTTGCGTCGTATTTGTCGCTTTCCTGAACACTTTGGTTTTTAGGCCACCACAATCTTTGCGGCAGACGAGGACATCCAGGAAGGCCAGCTGATTGTTTTCCTCCTCCTCCATCGTAAATTGAATGTCCGGGAAGACGGCGTTGAGTTGTTCTTTGAAAGTCAGCACCTGATCCCGTTCGATGACGACGAAGGTGTCATCCACATACCGAGCCCAGAATTTCGGTCTGTGGTGTCGGAAAACCAGCGACTCCAGCCGTTGAAGGACCGCCTCGCCTATGAGTCCCGAAATCGGCGAACCCATTGGCGTTCCCTTCACCTGCTCGTAGATTGTTCCGTCGATTGTAAAGTACGTCTTGAGACAGAACTTCAGGAGCTGGATGATTTGGGCGTGTCCGAGGCGATTCTCCGTTTCGTCGTACTTCTCTCGTAGGAGTAGTTCGATTGTCTCGACTGCCAGGTCCTGCGGGATAGAGGTAAAAAGGGACGTGACATCAAAGGAAACCATGATATCGCTTGGCAGGAGACTTACTCCTTTAAGTTTCTCCAAGAATTGCGTTGACGAGCTGACTGTGGTGTTCGAATCGGAGGTCAGAAACTTGAGACGTTGGAACAGCCACTTTGCCAGTCCGTAGGTTGGAGTGCCCTTTAGTGACACGATAGGCCGGAGAGGAGCGCCCTCTTTGTGCACTTTTGGGAGACCTTAGAATCGGGCTAGGGCCGTTTCTTGTGCTCTCGCCATGCGTCGGTCGATTGGCGATATTGCACCTGAGTTCTCCATTGCCAACAGCGTCGCGTTAATCTCGCGTGTCAGCGTTTTCATGGGGTTGGATTCGCATGGCACATAGGACTGACGATCATCCAACAAGCTTTTGGCTTTTTGATTGTAGTCTGTCCTGTCCAATACGACCGTTGAACGCCCCTTGTCCGCAGGCACGATAACGAGGTCGTTGTCGGCCCTGAGTTCTTTAAGTGCATCACGCTCGACCTTGGAAAGCACATCGCGCGGCCTATGAGCCATGAGGAGGGAGGACACTTGGTGTCGAATGAGGTTCTTCGTTTCGTCTGTCGCTCCCGTCTGGCTGAGGATTGATTCCACTGTTGCGATCATGTTGGCAGGTTTGGCATCGGCTGTGTTGAATGAGGCCTCATGCCGTAAAACCTGCATTTGTTCCTCCGTCAGCTCCCTTGACGACAAGTTGTGCACCAGTTTGTCGTTCTTGGATGACATTGGAGCAGGCAGCTTACGAAATTTGCTCTCTAGGGCTGCTTCTCGCGTTGCTTTATGTTCGCGGGTTCGTTCTGCCAGCCTCTGCTGAAGCAGTTTTATGCCGTCCTCGCCCATGAACTCGCAGCACCTTGTCTTCTCTTGGTCAATCCTCTGACGGTATTTGCGAATCCGTGAGTGACAGTCTTGAAGGAGCACTCGGATCATTCGTCGGCCGTGCTGAAGTACTGCGCGTCTCGCCAGCTCTGTGTTGACCGGAGGTTTGTATGAAACGCACTTCGGCAGCACATTGTTGTCGAGACACCTGTGCAGAAATCGAATCTGCGCATATGTTGACGACTCTCGAAGGGCAAAGGTTTCCCACCGTCGAGCCGATCGGAGCGCTTCGCGCCCGAAAAGATTGCTGATAGAAGCGAACAGGCGAGTCCCAGGTAGCAGTTCAGAAGATGAAGATGCGATCACTGGGACAAGAAGTTTATTGGCCTGACGTTTCGGGTTCTCACTCGAGCCCATCATCAGAGACATTCGCAGATAGAGGTAAAGGTGGCACCAGGAATGCAGTATTTATAGCACGTGGCTGCCGTGGGACCGTATGCGCACTGCAATTAACAGTTCTCACAATCGCCGCTGGGGTCGTAATTGATGCGGCGGTGGCCTGGCGGTCCGAGTCCGAGTTGTTAATTGCCGCGATTTCGTCATCCGTGCTCGATGCTGGTGTGACGATTGCTCGGCAAACTGGCTCACTGTCACCGTGATAATTGCTCACCCGCGCCCTCCCCACGTGACTGATTCTCCTGCCCAGGGAAAATCGCAATACGGAATAGGCCACCGGGAGGTCATTGTGTTTGTTGATGGATTGCGGGCCTGAGAACCATGACTCGGGCAGCTCGCGGCTCACGCGGTTGTCACCCCTTGCGAGGATTTCGGCCTCTTGAAATTTGAAATTATGGCCGGGTCCCGTCGAGTGTGCCGCCACCTGAGAGTTAGCGTCTCCCCGCCTCACGAAACGTCAGGCCAATAAACTTCTTGTCCCAGTGATCGCATCTTCATCTTCTAAACTCGGAATGCCCATTCCAGTCTCCTTTCCTTTGTCCGTGATCTTTTCAGCAACATGTATATGTATATATATTGCTGATAGAGGCGAAGATGCGCGTCCCCGGACAGAAACGAGAAGAAGAGGCTTCCATCGTCGGAGGTGAGTGTTGTACCGCGCCTCACTTCAGCCGCGTTGTCCACTTATCTGGCAGGTGTGTGGACGAACGATCGCAGTTACGCTAACGGAACCGATGAAGGTGCTATCATCACTGCCACACATGCGGCAGGTGAGAACACAAGTGGCTGCGGGGTGACAAACAAGATTGCCAGCCTAGGACGAGAGCTAAGGTCAATGCAAACACGTGCGATGACAGCTAGCGTCCGAACGACGGTCCCCGAATAGACGCAAACCCGTTGTAACAAGATCGTCACCGGCTATATACAGTAGATGTGCTAACTCATGAAATGTCAACCAAAATTTCGAAATGAGTTCTCGTTTCGAAAAGATAAATTAAGTAGTCTTATAAAACTAATCATGATGCAGCATAAATCTATAATGATCCAGTTACCTCAGGATGTCGGCTTTCGAAAGAACTTATTTTTGGCTGCACGCAAGATCTATACTCTGCAAAAAATGCCTACTTAAGTTGCATGCAATTTTCTCATTGATTTTCGATGCCCTTGAACATTCAATTACATTTCATGGAAAACATGCATAAAAATATTCATTCTTTTCCTTATTCGGTAGAAAATCACGTCTTCTTCCCACTTCATACTCAAAAGAAAAGCATAATTCGGTTTTAAAAAAACTTTTTAAATTCCCGAATAATTTTGAACCCGACCTGCTGTTACACTTGCATTCAGGGTTTCAAAACTACAAGCTGTATATTTTCCGTGTACGGAAACCATGCATTTCTCTACGGTGTTAAGAGGAGATCATATGAGGTTCATAAAATTAAACAGTGGATTTGAGCAATATTGTTAACTTTACAAGCCACATTCGTAAATGCAGATACATGACGTTTCATGAACGGCCATTTAACGGTATTAAAAAATCTCACAATCAGAAATCTTTTTAGAACCGAATTATACTCTTTATTTGAGTATGAAATTGGAAGAAGACGTGGCTTTCTACCAAATAAGTAAGAGAATGAATATTTTTATGCGTTTTTTCCATGAACTATAATTGAATTTTCAAGGCCATCGAAAATCAATGAGAAAATTGCATGCTACTTAAGTAGTCATTTTTTTCAAAGTATAGATCTTGCATGCAGTCGGAAATAAGTTCTTTCGAAAGCCGACACCCTGAGGTAACTGGATCATTATAGACTTATGCCGCATCATGATTAGTTTTACAACACTACTTAATTTATCTTTTCTAAACGAGAACGCATTTCGAAATTTTGGTTGACATTTCATGAGTTAGCACATCTACTGTATACTGTGAGTCGCGGTACAATACTCACCTCTGACGATGAAAGCTTGTTTGCTTTTGAAACGTCAGGGCAATATAACTATGGTTCCCGAGATCGCCTCTTCTTCTCATGTACATATATATATATATATATATATATATATATATGAAGAGAGAAGGCTCGTCGGAAAAATTGAGTTGTACTCGTAAATTTTCGAGCTGGTGACACCAACCCGTCGTCAGACGAAATAAACAGTGGAGAAAGTGAACTAGTCAGAATAAATTTGCTGGCGTGACAGGGCAGCCAGTGACAGGCAAGCAACTAATGTGTGAATGGGGGTGGACAGATAATTAGGCTGGGATCCGTGGCGGGGGAGGGAAGGGGGAACTGTTGCGTCTCCCTGTGTTGGAGGGTAGGGGGGATGACGAATCAATGGAACTATGGGCAGTGGGCTTAATAGTCGTCGATCCGGCATGCGGGCGGAGGTCAGTGAGCCCAACGTAGAGGTGTTACGGGTTGCAGTTGCGGTTCGCTGTGTCTGGGGGTGTAATGGGGTAACGAAATAGTGCGATTCTACATGGCCCAGTGTGGATAAGCGGCTCTTGTTAGGTCGTGGGCGCAAGTCAGTGAGCCGGGCACGCAGACCTTCGTAATGAGCATCTAGATCGACATGGCGATTGATGCTTGTCGTGTTAGAGTGCCAGGCTTCGCGGAATTCACGAGCGTGTTTGGTGTTCGCCATGGCAACAACTTCAGTTCCTTCCCAGTTGAAGCGATGGTCGCATTCAAGGGCGTGTGCAAACACGAGTGACAAAGGGTCACGTCGGCGGATGGCTAGTTTATGCTCGTTTATACGCGTCCCAAGTCGTCGGCCTGTATGACCAACATAGTCGCAAGAACAGTTGGCGCACGGAATGCGGTAGATGACATTGGTTTGCTGCTCTTTAGGTATAGGGTCTTTCACTCGCGATAGTGTTACGCGCACAGAGGACGCCGGCTTGTGGGCAATGAAGATGCCAAACCGGTTTAGTTGTCGGGCGATCGCTTCGGAAATACCCTGCATGTAGGGTAGCGAGTAGAATTTCCGATGTTCTGGTCCCTCATTAGAACCAAAGCCTTGTGGTTGTCTTTGATGCCTGAGACAATTTTTTACAAAGCTGACCGGGTATCCGTTGAGTCGGAATAACCGATACAGGAAAGCGAGTTCTTTCTGGCGTAGATCGTCGCTGCTGCAGTACCGATAGGCCCGGTGGAAAAGGGTTCGGACACAGCTCCTTTTATGAGCCGCCGGATGGTTGCTTTCATAATTAAGAATGACGTCAGCACTGGAGTCTTTTCGGTAGACGCTTTTTGCAAGGCCGCCATCACTTAGTGTTTGGATACTAACGTCTAGAAACGGGAGAATGCCTCCTGTTGCCTTTTCGCAAGTAAACTGGATAGCTGGGAAGACGCTATTCAGACTCAGATGTAGCTGCTCAATTTCGCAGGTCTTCATGATAACAAACGTATCATCTACGTATCTGAGCCACATTTTTGGTTTAAAGGTTTGCATAACCTCCTCTTCTAGTTGTTGTAGTACTAGTTCAGCTAGTAGACCTGATATTGGCGAGCCCATTGGTGTGCCCCTAACCTGTTGATAAAACTTTCCATCGAGTTGGCAGTAGTTCTTGAGACAGAGTCTAAGAAGTTCTGAAATGTGTTCTATCGGAATGTTGGTTGGATTATCTTGCAGGCGTCGGGTTACGCTCTCAATCGCTAGGTCATGTGGTATTGAGGAAAACAGGGCAACCACATCAAACGATAGAATACACTCATCAGGACTTACTTTCAGGCCTTGGATCTTCTGGAGGAATGCCTGAGAGTTTTTGATGCTATATTGTGATCCATTGGTGAGGTGCTTCAGGTGCCTGTATAACCATTTAGCGAGGTTGTAGGTGGGCGATCCAATAAGCGGCACAATGATCCTCAATGGCGCACCTTCTTTGTGCACCTTTGGGAAGCCATATGCATGGGCTATTCGGGGGTCGTTGAGAGTCATACATCTGGAGTCATCGGGGGTTATGAGTTTCAGTCGAGTGAGCTCATTCACCTTCTTTTTTACAGCTGCGGCTTGCTTTTTAGTCGGGTCCTCCGCGAGTGGTGTGTAGGCTTCCCTGTCGTTAAAGACTTGGTTCGCCTTGTTGACGTAATCACTCTTTTCCATGACGACGGTCGCGCCACCTTTGTCAGCAGACACAATCACAATGCTGTCGTCCGTCCTAAGCGACTGTAGTCCTTTTTCTTCATCGATTGGTAAGACTTGGTGGTGCTTCCTTTGTCGAAGGAGACCAGTGGCACAGCTGCGTATGTCTGCGCGCATTTCTTCAGCCACAGCAGAGGTCAGTAAAATAGATTCAAGGCTCGCTAAGAAGTTTGTGGGCGCAGCGTCAGAGTGGCTGAATTTTGTTCCTCTAGATAGTAGACTAAGTTCAGCGGATGTTAGACTCCTTTTAGAGAGGTTAACAACTCTTGTCGATCTGCTGGTTTCGTTGACAGGGCGAAGAAGAGATTGCAGTTTCGCTTGAAGATCGGCTCGCTTTTTCATTCTGGCGTCTAAAGCGGTGGCATTTATTCGGTGTAGCACGTCTGCGAATACATTTTCAGGCAATGTTGTGGCACACTGGCTTCGAAGGTCGGATATTGTTGCATCAAATCTGCAAAGGCGACGGTGGACGTCTGATATAATGGCACCCAAAACGCGAAATCCATATTTGCGTGCAAGTAACCTCCCAGTCTCATTCGGTAGAGTGGGCTTGAAACGAAGAGACTTCGGTAGGATGCCATGATCGCGACATCGATGAAGAAACGTCAGCTGCTCGTAAGTTGTAGCCTGTCTCTGGGCAAATTTCTCCAAACGTCTGGTGAGAATAAGCGTTTGACGCCCACATATATATATATATTTAATCAGGAATCGTCCACACTGATCTATTGGATTCCCGAAGCAAACGAGCTCCGTATGGGTGGCAAAGGTCACGGACGGGCAACCAACTACCCGGCCGAAGTCGGCCAAGTTTTAATAGCGGCGAGTTAAAATAGTGAAGAGGTGCTGATGAACTTCGGTTCGATGAAGTGCTTCTGACCCATCTGGTAGACTCCAGTGTTGAAGCAGTTGCGCCAGGTGTGTCTGTGCGCATGTTTGTGTTTCCGGTCCCAGCTGGTGGTGGTCAGGGTTATGATTGGCTGAATGAAGGCACAATAAGCCCGAAACTGTGCTGTATCAATCTACCCCCTCCTCCCCGCAGACTCTGTCGTCTCCCCTCTGCTATCATAGCTTCCCCGATTTTGGCCTGGTAGGCGGTTACCCGTTCGTAACCCTTATCACCCATACAAGGCCTGTTTGCTTTGAGAAGCCAATGAGTCTGTGTGCGGCCATTCCTTGTAAATATATATATATATATATCAGAGCGGATACAACAGAGTCTGGGGGGTAGATTGATACAGCAGTGTTTCGGGCTTGTTTGCCTTCATTCAGCAAACCATAACACTGACCACCAGCTGGGACCGGAAAGACAAACATGCGCACAGGCGCACCTGGCGCAGCTGGTCCACCACTGGGGTCTACCAGATGGGTCATAAGCACTTCATCGAACCGAAGTTCATCAGTGCCTCGCCACCTGCCATTCTCTGTCGCTGCAGATCGGGTATTTATTCACTCAGGACTTCGGCCTGGTAGGTGGTTGCCTGTTCGTGACCCCTATCGCCCATACGAAGCTTGTTTGCTTCGGGAAGCCAATGGATCGGTGTGCGCCCATTCCTGAGTGAATAAATACTTGATCTGCAGCGACAGAGAATGGCAGGTGGCGAGGCACTGATGAACTTCGGTTCGATGAAGTGCTTCTGACCCATCTGGTAGAACCCAGTGTTGGACCAGCTGCGCCAGGGGCGTCTGTGCGCATGTTTGTGTTTCCGGTCCCAGCTGGTGGTGGTCAGGGTTATGATTGGCTGAATGAAGGCAAAGAAGCCCGAAACACTGCTGTATCAATCTATCCCCCAGACTCTGTTGTATCCGCTCTGCTATCATAGCTTGGCCGACTTCGGCCTGGTAGGTGGTTGCCTGTTCGTGACCCCCTATCGCCCATACGAAGCTTGTTTGCTTCGGGAAGCCAATGGATCGGTGTGCGCCCATTCCTGAGTGAATATATATATATATATATAGTGGTAGGGGGCGTACCTGATAAACCAGGTACTGAAGACCATCCGCGGGTGTTCCACACTTCGGGCTTGGGTATGGCTGGCTGACGACGGCTAATAAGCCAGAAATGGCCATTCCAGTCTCCCTTGTCTTTGTCGGCAATAGCCTTCTGCCTATATATATATATATATGTATGTATATAGACAGTCTTTGAAGGAGGGAGTTTGTGATCTCCTAAGAATAAGAGTGTCATGTAGCCCACGTAAGCACTTGTACTTATTGCAGACTGACAGGTGCGGAAAAGGATGATAGGGGGCACAAGTTGCTCAGTACTTATAGGGCGCGGTTGCCAGGCAACTACGCTTCCATTGTATTTGGCAGTACTCGTGTTCATCGCTGGGAGTAATATTTAATGCCACGATTGAGTGTCGGTTCGTACACGATTCGTTTATTTCCGCGATTGCATCCCCGTCATTGATATGCCACAGGAATACTCATGCAGGCCTCGCGGAAAGTTGGCACAATACTGTGTTCCCCTTGCCCGCTTAAGTAATGTTTTTCTCTTGACAGGATACTGTAATCAATGTTTTATTAGTTGGAGGTGCCCAATTTGGGTGACTCAGGTGGCTTATCTGAAAAGTTTTCTCAGGGAACTATGGATAGGATGTTAGTACCTAATCCTCCTTCCGACCGAAACCTCCGCATAATGACACTGGGGACTTTAAAAACACTGTAATTCCACTTCACAAATTACACAACTTTATATCCAGATGGTAAATATGAGGCATAAGAAATTTACGCACGCACATATTTCAACTCACTTGCCCTCGAATGCTGAAATGTGCCTGCTGCTGCGGCTGATGCTGCCGGCACCGCGGTCACGGCAGTCAGAAGTGATGTTAAAGTGCTCTTTTCTCTAAAAGGCGTGCTCTCCTGTCAGCTGTCGCGTGTGGCCACTCAGAGCTCTTGTCCGTTCAGTCTGTTCTGGAACAGGAATCTACGGGTCAAATTCCACTAGAGGTCAGCTTGAGGCCTGCCGACGGCTACCAGTCGGTCATCCAGTTCTGTGACATCAAGGGGACCAGGCGTGCCAAAAGCAGTATGTATTTCCGATATTTTATTTCGAGTATGGGCCGTGGAAGTAACACCGTGAGTTTTGAGACGCTGACTGCCACTATAGATATGTCTTTAAATAGAAAAACAATTAGCCAAATGAGATTGCACGGAATCATGGTGACATGGAATTGGTCGTAAAAGCGAAAAAACCGTCTATATTGTAGTACCTGTTCAAAAATGGTCACCCCGCTTTCTCTTGTCCTTTTCAACATCCTCACATTGTTTATACAAGTAATTGCTGTGGGATTGTCTGTGAGGGCTCCACAGTGGACCCCAACACACAACAGTCTTTCATGCCTGCATACATTTAATTGTGGTACTGGGGCGCTCGGCGATCGTTTCTACGGAACTCACTCGTTCCGTTGCGCCTTACAGGCTCTCTGTCTCGAGCTTAATCAGCGGCTCCACAGCAGCACATTATATAGTCAGAATTGTATTACCGACAATGGCAAGGGAGACTAGAGTGGTTGTTTCTGGCTTATTAGCCGTCGTCAGCCAGTCGTACCCAGTTACTAAAAAGAAGGTTCCTTTGTCCGGAAACCGCGTCCCAAATAAGACATGGAGACTGGAATGGCCATTTCTGGCTTCCCGCCGTCATCAGCAAGGTCGTTCTGCGCAACTGAGATCTGAAGCAGATAGAGAGTTAATTCAAGCAGGGCTGGGCACATACCATTCCATCGATTTCCCGAGGTAAACAAGCCCCGTGTGGGCAGCAGAGATCACGAACTAGTAACCGCAGGCCAGGTCAACTTAAACCAAGCCACGATGAAGCTTGATATAAAACGTCATGTATCTGCATTTACAAAGGTGGCTTTTATAGTTAACAATATTGCTCAAATCCACTGCTTAATGTTATGAACCCCATATGGTCTCCTCTTAATACCGTAGAGAAATGCATTGTTTTCCCTACACAGAAAATATACGGCTTGTAGTTTGGAAACCCTGAATGCAAGTGTAACAGTGGGTCGGGTCCAAACTTATTCGGGAATTAGAAGAGTTTTTTTAAAATCAAATTATACTCTTCTTTCGAGGATAACGTCGAAAGAAGGCGTAATTTTCTACCGAATGAGCGAGAGAATGAATATTTTCATGCATGTTTTCCATGAAATATAGTTGCATTTTCGAAGTCATCGATAATCATTGCGAAAAATGCGTGCTATAGCAGTAGTCATTTTTTACAGAGTATAGTTCTTGCATGCAGCCGAAAATAAGTTCATTCGAAAGCCGACACCCTAAGGTTACTGGATCATTATGGAATTATGCTGCATGATGATTAGTTTTACAACCCTCCTTAATTACTCTTTTCGAAACGAGAACGCATTTCGGAATTTCGATTGACATTGCATGAGTCAGCCCACCTACTGTACGTTTATCTGCGTGAAAGTAACCGTTGTCTCGCCATTTTCTAAGAACTTTCTGTTTGTAACTCACCTGATAAAAATAATTATGGTACTACTTTGCCTCGAGCGATTTCCCCGCGGAAGGGTCGATTTATCTGTCAATCAAGTGATCTTAAGAATTTGATGACATGACGGTTCACTTTTACTTTTGGAACGTCAAACGCACTGAAGTCTATATTCACCTGAATTCAGTCATCCGAAGATTTCCTTCTTACGTATGCTCGCATTGGCTCAGTGTCAGTGCGACTTTTTCTTTTTAGTTAAGAAAAACCGAGAGAATTGGTAGGAGTAATATCGAACTGTCTATTTTTGTGTCAGAAATCTAGCTTATGCTTTCATCATGGCTGCCTACAGATTTTACAATTTGCGAGAATACAACTCACTCGTGGGGAAAAAACCAAAAAGTTTAACTTACGACGTTTAGTCTCGTTGAGCCAGCGAAGTTCGCCGATGAAACTGCCGCGTCAGTCACGTGACCATTATCGATCCGCCTGGTTGACCTTCAAGTCTGCGCACATGCTGGCTACTTTTACGTCAAGTGCGGACACCCCAGTCCGACATGTGATTGGTGCATAAAGTTCTTGCTAGTTAGTAGTGGTTTTATCGAATTTTCCAATGGCCTGTGCCACAGAAAGCAATAATCTCGGCTTTGGCGAGCTCATTCTTTTATTACTGATAATCCGCCGCTGGCGCTAGACGAGTAGGCGATAGCGATATCATGTGGGTTAAATTACAGGAATTCCTACAATGTTGCAGTGCCAACACCGTCAAAACGACGGAAAACAAGCTTAAGTTCAGTGAAAGTTCGATATAGTATTACGTGTGTTAGACACATGTCGGTGGGTCAACTGTGACGAATCCTACCTCGTCCGTTATACAGATTAACTTTTTTTCGAA